GTAAATATTTTATTTGTTATTATACACATATGCTATTTTCAACCTGTTTCATTGTGTTTCAACATTGACATTCATGGTGTCAACAACTTACTGCAGTTAGATATGTATTGTTTTTCTACATTTTTTTATGTGTAAAATGAAGTAATTTTTAACCATTAATCGGGATGTTTTGTTGTGCAAGCCATGCAATTATTGAAAGAATTTGACATTTCACCCTATCAGCCACCATTGGTTGAGAAGCTCAGTTTTGTATTTTGTGTTGACACACTTCCTCTTGAGGCTTTGAAGTCTGGTTGCAACTTTGTTTTAGACTTCCTCACACCAGTGAACTGTGATTTTCAGCTTGATTTTGCTAGTCAGAGGCAGGTGGTATTAAAGGGAAATGATTCTAGAGAGCAATTTATTGGATGAGCATTTGGAACTTCCCCTCAGTGCATCCGTTTTTGGACCTTTTTCTCAGAAGAACAAGACTGTACATTTAAAATGTGCCTAGGTTCTGAAAGTTAATTTTGTTGTTTCACTTTTAGGAGTGAACTGGATTATAGATGACCTCAAACTAAAAGCCGCAGAATTCTAATTTCATGCGAAGAGAAGGTCAAACTGGAGAAACATTGAAAATCTGCATGCATGTAATTGTCTGGATTTGACCACAGTGATCCGTGCATTGGATTGGTCGGCCTGACTTTACCTAAGCTTACATGTTCCTGCAAAATCCCCACTCTTTCACTGCCATCTTAATTCTAACACATTCATTTCTTGGTCAGGTGAAATTACGGCAGATGAACTGTTAAGCCGCCTTCGGCAGGTCAAGGATGGCCCTGAGTCGCCCAGTAATGGCTCCACTGAGGAGAGAGGGGAAGGGCCGGCTGGTAAGTCAGCTGTACATTTTCCTGTTTGTATAGAATCCATATCATCCAGGTGACTTTTCCTGTAATAATTTCTTGAAAATCATGTTCTTGTTATTCTCAGCGACAGAGATGGAGGGCACTGAGGAAAACCCAAGTGGGGAGAGCCTTCTTGACTGGCTCAACACCGTACGACAGACGGGGAATACAACGAGGAGCGGTAACCGGGGGAACCAATCATGGCGGGCTGTGAGCCAAACCAATCCCAACAGCGGTGATTTCCGTTTCAGTTTGGAGATCAATGTCAATCGCAACCTAGCTGAGCAGCAAACGCAGACAGAAAGGCTGGAAGGGGGCCAGGAGAGACCAGATGGCCCTGTGTCTGAGCCGGAGAGTCTTATGGAGACTGCAGAGGTGGTTGAGGAACCAGTGGTGGATGAGCTGGAGGTTATAGTAGAGCCAGAGCTACCAGTTCCTATTACCCTGTCTGAAAACACGGAAGTAATTGCACCAAATCCACCAACTTCACCTCCCCCAATCTTGCCCCCAGTAGAGCAACCACGCAGGGGTCAAATTAGGGCTCGCAGTAGAAGCCCAGAGCAGCGACGAACAAGGGCTCGCACCACAAGAGGTCGCTCGCCGCTCAACCTCGAAAGATTGGACGGACTTCCGCCTACTCAGCACGGCCTGCCTTCTCGCAATCCTGAGATCCTTCCAGAGCCCCAGGTCGAGGGAAGCTCAAGGACTCGGCAGTTGTTTTTGTCTAGGCAGAGCACAGTGGAAACGGAAACTCAAGAATCGGGAGCAGCCGCCGAGGTCTCCGGAGCACCGCAGGATAGAGAGGCATCCGCTGGGGAAGCAGGAGCCCCAGGTCGTCGTCCTCCAACCATAATGCTGGATTTGCAGGTACGCAGGGTGCGTCCCGGAGAGTACCGCCAGAGAGACAGCATCGCTAACCGTACCAGGTCTCGTTCGCAGACCTCCAACAACACTTTACTGTATGAGACTGAGCGCGGGGGTTTCCGCCGGACCTTCTCCCGTTCGGAGCGGGCAGGGGTGAGAACGTACGTCAGCACAATCCGCATTCCCATTCGCAGGATCTCGGACACTGGACTCGGGGAAGCCACTTCTTTGGCTCTGCAGTCTATGATTCGTCAGATCATGACTGGCTTCGGTGAACTTAGCTACTTTATGGACTCGGACTATCCAGACTCGAACCGTGAAGACATCCCAGCTGCAGACCTCGCTGATGAACTGGGTAACCCTGATGCTTCCACCGGAGCCACTGCAGGTGAAGCGGACTCCTATCTTCCTGGGAATGGAGGCTCTAACCAGGGTGATTTAGAGGCACGGACAGAGGAGAGGGAAGTGGATGATGGAGCGTCCGATGCTAACAGTCCTCGGGAGAACCGAGGCAGGCAGCGGGCGCCCATTAGCCTGGATGAAACCGGATCTCTGCCATTTCTGCGACTTGCGCACTTCTTCTTGCTCAACGAGGAAGATGACGACCAGCCCAGAGGTCTCACCAAAGAGCAGATCGACAACCTGTCCATGCGAAACTTTGGCGAGAGCGATGCATTCAAAACCTGCAGCGTCTGCATCACTGAGTACGCCGAAGGCAACAAATTACGGAAGCTGCCCTGCTCTCACGAATACCACGTGCACTGTATCGACCGCTGGCTTTCAGAGAACTCGACCTGCCCTATTTGCCGCAGGGCGGTTCTGGTTTCCACCAACCGAGAGAGTGTCGTCTAGCCAAAGTTGGTTTTGTGACACTTTGACATCACTTCCTCCCTTCCCTTTACATTTATTACCTAGTCATGTGAGAACGCGTACTGAGATTGTCCCAGACATCCTATATGAAGCCATTGTTAAGTTTTATCAGATTTGCTGGTGCCAATATTTTTTTCCCAAACTACACATCAGTGTATTTTGACCCATCTTACAATTAAATAAATATTGGTGCAAGACGCAACCGATGAAGACCATGCTGCAAGCCCTGATCATTTATTGTCTTGAACATCAACATTCAACAAAATGATTGGATGAGGGGCAATGTAGAGATACCTTAGAGTGGTACATACACTTTCATACTAAAAGAGAGATTTGAGTTGTACTTTTAAGCAAGTATTCCATATCAGATTGCTTTTTAATAAAAGTTAATCATTTGAGCAACAAAAATAACATTAAGGATCAAGAAAAGTATAATCTGCTCATCCACAAATACATTTCAATCGGAAAATGCATTGAAACTGTCACACTTTGCTATATCTAAAGTGATTTTGGTTTCATACTGTGTTGGTTGCGTGTTGGTATGAAAGCATCGTGTGTGTTGTACCAGTTGCACCATTATCATAAATGACTAAATGCAGATAAATAGTAAATTTCACAGAGTAATTCTGAGTGAGTTCGTCATCCTGCATAGAATAGATTTTGATTTGGCTTTTGAAAGTGTTCAGTAATACTGGTTTTGAAAACATATGGCCAGACACTTTTTACACAAACAAACAAACAAACAAAAAAGGCTGTAAATATGCTACGTGGAGACTTCAAGTCATGTTTTCGCCTGTCTTCCCAAATGATGATGATGCATCAGTTGGCTGACTCAAACATACTTCATATATCTTAAGAAATAAACTTGGCTACATGTAGGCAATGTCGTGCAATGCTAAAAAGGAAACCGTAAAGGACGTTTTGACAAATAGACTTGTATGTTGTAGTCTGTAAATATATGCATTTAAAATGAAGACTTAAATGGAAGTTTTTCTAACAGTTCTGTACATTGAGAATAGCATCATTTATCTTACTCTGAGGAGGAAATTATTTTTTCTCATTATGTAATGGTTGGTTCATATGGGAGCTACGGTTCTTTAGTCCCATTCTAGAAAAACAAATGCAGTGTTATTTAGAAACAATAGAGGAGATATCTGTCTTTGTTTCTGTGTTGACTTGGGATACTAACCCTAAGCATAATGTTCTCCACCATGATTTACATCAACATTTCATGTATCGTAAGCAAGCCAACCATTGTTAAATTCATATTCTTGGTCAGAGGTCATGTATTATAAGAGCGAGTTACTCAATAGAATTTCTTTTGCCAGCATCATATTTATAGCTTATATTTTGTCATCTTTTGACTAGCTTCCAGTTTGCTGTGTTTAAAATGAATAAAATGATTTCCTCTCTTGACCGTTTCTCTGTGGCCTCGCCATCATGTTTAGTGCTGATGCGGAATAAAGGAGCTTACAGTGAATCTCACAGGCCTGCTATCAACCAGTCCAATTTAGCAATGCATACTATGTATTAGGGCTGCATAATAAAATGATTTCCTCTCTTGACCGTTTCTCTGTGGCCTCGCCATCATGTTTAGTGCTGCTGCGGAATAAAGGAGCTTACAGTGAATCTCACAGGCCTGCTATCAACCAGTCCAATTTAGCAATGCATACTATGTATTAGGGCTGCACAATTAATCGAATTTCTAATCGCGATTACAATTATCAATTACAATTTCAAGGCATTAATCGACAATTATGATTTTTGTCATAATCGTGCAGCCCTACTATGTATAATATGCTTTGAAAGGATTTTGTTGGTTCTTGCGCATTCCGGTTCAAGGTTTGTATTTACCAATAATATTGATTTTCCACAAATGTTCAATGTTATATTGAATTATCTTTGGATTCTTTAGGTGACATTTGCTTGTATCACACCAGTGCTTACGGCACACAGACGTTGCACACTTTCTGCTTGGACGAGAGACAACAAAATGTTAGCCATAATGTTATTTCTATATTACAAAAAAAAAAGTTTGCATAATGCATATTTATTTAACTGTCCAATTATTTTTGATAATGTGTTTTGACTTTTTTTTTTTTTTCCACGGTTTACAATTTTTGCAAACACTAATATGCATTTTTTCCTTAACATTTTAAAACTCTTTTTCCAATTTCTGGGCTATGGTAAGCATACATCTAAGATGATTTGTTAATTGAGCTAAAATCTCGAAGTATTGCCATTTTAAAAGGCACCTTACACATAACTCTCTTAGATCATCATGGTGATCTAATGCATAGTTTTATGGAAACTGCATAACATTACATATTTAGATCACGAAACTTTGAGGATAAGATCTGTTGACACCAGATACCGTGGAGCATGAACCAGCTGGACTTCATTATCTATGGAAGTGATATTTCATCAGTCTTTATCAGACACTGTTTCTATGGTCCTAAATACCAGTTTTCCACACCATATTTTCAGATCTGGCATTACTGTATGTATCCAGGCCCATGACGAGCTTTAACCAGGTCCTCAAGAGTGTTGATGAAAATATAAAGTAGCTAACATTCACAGAAGATGCATGCTTCAAAATATTACAATCAAGAAGCCAGAAGTGACTGTGTGAAAGGCATTTCTTATGAATGTTAAATGTGAGTGGACGTTGTATGAAAGTTACTGAGACTTTGGTGATTCATTAATATTCATAAGATAAATATTGATGTAATTTAACTTGGAATAACTGAGATATTTTGATGTTTTTGAAACAAGTCCCTTATGTTTACCGAGGCTGCATTTTTTAAATCACAAACACAGCAAAAGATTCATATTGTGAAATATTAGTATAATTTAAAATAATTTTCTATTTTAATATATTTTAAAATATAATTTATTTCTGTGATCAAAGATGAATTTTCAGCATAATATCTCCAGTCTTCAGTGTTACATGATCCTTCAGAAATCATATTTCATATTATTATCAATGTTGAAAACAGTTTTTGCTGCTTATTGTTTTTGTGCAAGCCTATGCAGTTTTTTTTTTTCAGGATTCTTTGATGAGTAGAAAGCTCAAAGAGCAGCATTTATTTGAAATATAAATCTTTTGTAACTTTATAAACACATTTACGTTCACTTTTGATCAATTCAATGCATCCTTGCTGAATAAAAATATTTTAAAAATATTTTGAATGGTAGTGTATCTGGGTTTCCTCAGAAGTTTTCAACATTAATAATAATAAGAAATGTTTCTTGAGCAGCAAATCAGCATATTAGAATAATTTCTGAAGGATCATGTGACACTGAAGACTGCAGTAATGAAAAAACAAAACAAAACGTATTCTATACTTTTGGCCGGCAGTGTTCGGTCTTCTATGTTTAATATAAGTTATTTCGTTTGTAACACTTGTCTGTGCAGTTCAATTCAAGTTTGCTATTCAATTTTTTCCATTCAATTTTTCCATTTTTAGAAGAGTGTTTATTAAAGTAAGCATGAAATGGAAATTGCGAATTTTATGCATAAAAATGTTTTTCACTTCCAGTAAGTTCTCGGTGGACTCTCATCAGTCTGGTTCAAAAGTTCCTGTCCAGTTCACATCAGTCATCTGGACCACCTGGTGCTCACGGTTCAGGACCTGAACAAAACCACACATTTTTACTCCAAGGTTTTGGGGATGGAGGTCATCACTTTTAAGGTAGAATGTCACTACTTTCAAAAACACACTGCAAACAATAGCACATGGTGGCAGCAGAGTCTAAGTGTTCTCTCCTGTCGTGTGTTTCAGGGCGACCGCAAAGTGCTGAGTTTCGGAGAGCAAAAGCTCAACCTGCATCAGGCTGGGAAAGAGTTTGAGCCCAAAGCCAAAACCCCAACACCAGGATCTGCTGACCTGTGCCTGATTACTAAAACCCCTCTGACAACCGTCGCTGCCCACCTCAAGGTGACTTATATTGTGTTTTGACAGTTCAGGAGATGGAATTTGATTTGAATTTGAATTGGAATGAAATTGCAATTAAAAAATTACTCAACAGATACATTTATTAGTCCAATACAAGTTGTGCAAATGAAACAAAATAATGACTATTCTTTTTTGACTATTAATGCTTATTAATTTTGCCATAGAGTACCACAGAATGTCTACCATATAATTCTCTGATTAAGAGTTTCATTTTTTAAAAGGTTTCCCTCCATATTTCATAATTAAGCAATGTCACACAAGCAAAGCTGTTGTTTTTGAAATTCAGTACAACAGCAGTTCTATAACCAGAAGTTCATATTGAGTAACGTACATTTGACACAATATTGCCAGTTGTTTTGTCTATTTTAAGAGCCAAAAAATATTTCCAAAGCAAAATATGAGGAAGGGTTTATTTTCTGAAATTATCTTCAAAATCAACGGCCAAAACAAATTGTTAAATAAAGTGAAAGTTTATTAGAGACGTTACTAATGTCTCCTAACCGTTTCTAAAATATCCTGCATGTTTTGGGTAGTTCATGCTGAAAATAAAAAGTATAATTAAAACTACAGATACAGTACAGCAGTAAATGGATTTATTTCCGTCTTTCCTTTAGTTGCAATTCAAATTATAATTCATCCTGTTCCCTGCTTCAGTTTGAACTGAAGAATAGACATTTAAAAAGCATTCTCAATTCAGTTCTGAATGGTTGACATCCCTGGTTTTAGAGAACAAAACACTGAAGCACAACAGACAGTTTTCATTACATGCTGATGTTGTATTTCCAGGCATGTGGAGTGACGATAGAGGAGGGTCCCGTTGACAGGACGGGTGCTGTGGGTCCCATCCGCTCCCTCTATTTCCGTGACCCTGATGACAACTTGATTGAAGTCTCCAATTACCAGCAGTAGACAGCAGGGGGCACTGTATCATTGCCTTAAGATGAATATAAACATGTACTCAGATGCCTTCCCAAAAGATGTTTTAAATGTAATAAAAAATAAATAAATAAATAACAACAAGGTTTTAATTGCTTTAACTTGTGCTTTCAGCTGAGCTAACATTTCCTTATTTTTATAACTTCCTTATGTGGCTGCCTCAATATCAAACTATTTTGGTCCGAGCACAAATGCTCCATACTGAGACTGTGCATGATTTTAAATTGTAATTATGCTGTGGGGTAAATTCTTTTGAAGCCATTAAGATCTGGAAAATTCTGGCCAGAATCACTTAGGAAGCTCTTTTATCCAAAACCATTTTACCCGTTCTGTCTTCCACTGTCCTTGGGTGATGTAATGTTGTAGAATTTGTTTAAATGAATTTGATCATGCTTAATATTTTCTATTTAAAAATAAGATGTCATGTGATGCCAAGTAAATGAATGAGTTAATGTAAAACGATATAATTCAGAAAAGACAAAACTGTCTGAGCATTTGTTGTTTTTAGGATCTGATAGAGCCTTTGAAACTTAACTGGATACAATGAAATGAAAATAAAACAATGGCAAAACCTTTGCGCATCTCGGTGAACCACACCTGAAGGGATTCTTGTGAAGAGTTGAACTCTTTGCTATATTTGACGGCTATATTTCTCGGTCACCTTTGGGAAGTCCATATAGGGAAATTCCCTCTGTAGTTTCTGCTCTGAATGAGAAGAAAAGCATTGTCCTAAAGAGCTCATCAGGTGTCTGGAGGTTTGGAGATGTTAACCATAGTGCAAAGATTCGTCCATCAAAATGAAACAGAGTGAAGACTCATTGCATTTACGGGACCAATACTAGTTTTGCTGCTTCAGCCTGAACATGTAAAAGAAACAAATAAATTAATAGCCTACATTCTGACTCATCATGCGATTTATGATAATACTCCAGCCATCAATCTGTTGGTGAACAGGACTTTAATTGCCATGTAAAGCCCAAACTAAAACACTGAATGGCTATTTCTGGAATCCTTCCGTCATGGTCATTTATGATAAAAGCATGTGTTTAGTGGCACACTCACCGATTATTTCGTACTGTCAGATTCATGCTGGGCATGAGGGACAGTGATGCTTTACTGATAATATGTGACATTATTGTTTCCTCAATCCTCTTCTGCAATATATACAGGAAACTTGACTGGAAACTGTTTCCTCGTTCTGCTCACATGAACGTTTAATCTGTTTCAGAATAATTTTTGTTTGTTTGTTACTGTTTTGCCCCTATCGTCCTATAATACACACAATGTTGGCAGTGATTCTGCTGAAGGAGGGCTCGCACCAGCAAATACCAAGAGTTTGTTTCCCACATTATAAATACTAACAACTTAAATTTGCTGACTTAAGTTTTCTTTATTCTAACACTGTAAAAAATTTCCACATGTCTCTTCAACCCGCCAAAAGTGGAGGCGCCGACCTCTATATAAGTCGGCTCTGAGCGCCATTTTGTCAGAATTTTTTCTCCTTCAGCGAAACAAAAAGATCATCTCGCTGACTCTACAAGCAAGAAGCTGAAGAAGGAAGAAGCTCAACCTGCTGCTCACCGCCATAGAAGGAGCCCCCGGCAGCGGAAGAAGCCAGAAGCCTTCCCCTGCGGCCATCTGGCATTCTAAAGAGCAAATTTCCGAGCAATTGCATGCAACGTTTTTGCAAATGTCGCGCCGTGAGTGGGGCTCGTGCAGTGGCTTGATGCAGGCCACGCTCACTGGGACGGCATGCTCTCATTGTGAGAGCATGAGTCTCGCACTTCTCCGCTCGTGGAACGCCTTCTTTAATGAAGGCGATCCTCCCCGCTCTGCTTTCCCATTTCCTCTGTCCCCTAGGAGAAAGAAACTGTGGAGCAGTGGGGTTTTAACACCGGGCTCAAGTGAACTCACACCGGTACAGCCCCTGCGTGCTTCACTCTCCACCCAATGCCTCGATTCACCGGTGTGCTTCACATGTGAGGATCAGCGCCCCTCGTTGGCTGCGAGCGGCTTGATTTCCTTCGGCTCATCTGAGGAAGCTGTCGTTGATGACTCTATGTCATTAAAGGCTTCAGATGCTGAAGAGTCGGCGTGTTCCGGCGAAGAGTCAGACAACCTCTGATGCTGACAACACGGCCCAGCGTGGACAGCGAGCTGACCCGCGTTCTATCTAAGGCTGTGGAGGACCTCGGCCTGGCTTGGTCGGCTCCAGAAGAGCCCGTTCACAGCCTCCTTGATGAGTGGTACCCGAAGGGATGCTGTCAACATTACTCCCGCCAACGGCCCGCTCACCAGGATGTGGCACGCCCCCTACTCGGCCGAAGTGAATAGACAGGGCTCTTTCCCCTCTGAGACAGACGGGAATCTACCTCGTCGATTGGCTGGTTTTAGCCAGGTCAGAACCGGAACTCATTGCTCATAGGTCGCTGCTGCTCAGCCACCTGGAGTACCTTGGGTTAAGAATCAATTTAGCCAAGAGCTCTTTTGTCTCCCAGCCATCGAGTGGTCTTTCTGGGGACATTTATCGATTCTGCCCGAATGTGGGCATAGATTACGCCGGAACGCTCCCTCACTATTCATCGACTGTCAGCATCATTCAAATTAGGGACTTCCCACATCCCCCCAGGGCTTTCCAGAGGATGCTCAGCCTCATGTCGGCCGCTCCCTATGTGATTCTTCTTGGCCTGCTCAACATGCGGCCCCTTCAGTACTGGCTCAAAGCCCATGTTCCGTCCCACGCTTGGCGCCTGGGACGTTATAATCTCAGGGTAACCCACTGCTGCGTCAGAGCTGTGGCCCCTTGGAAAACCACTCGTTTCATTCATGCGTCCCTTGGGACTGACCTCCAGAAGGAAGGTGGTCACGACAGATGCCTCTAACTTAGGTAGGGGAGCTCTGTACGAGGACAGACCAGCATCCGGCTCCTGGTCAAACCTGGAGCAGCACTTACACATCAACTGCCTCTAGATGATGGCGGTTTTTCTAGCTCTAAAAACCTTCCTGCCGGCTTTAAAGGGGCACCACGTCCTGGTCCGCTTGGACAACATGACGGTGGTAGGCTTTATAAATCACCAAGGCAGTCTCAGGTCACGCTCCCTTCACAGGTTGGCTCGCCACCTACTTCTATGAGCACAAGGCAATCTCCTCTCACTCACACTGAACCAGGGGGCAGACATGCTGTCTAGGGACGTGGTAGCTCCAGGAGAATGGAGGCTACATCACCAAATGGTTCAAATGATAAGCTCTTTATTTCAGATAAATGCTGATCTTTGGATCTTTCTATTCATCAAATAATCCTGAAATGATTAATGTATATATGTGTGTGTGTGTGTATTTATACTGTATATACAGTACATAATAAATATACAGTACACATACATATATTTTGTAAACAAAAACTTTTATTTTGAATGCTATTAATCGTTTGACAGCACTATTAATAATAATAAATGTTTTTTGAGCAGCAAATCAGCATATTAGAATGATTTCTGAAGGATCATGTGACACTGAAGACTGGAGTAATGATGCTAAAAAATCAGCTTTGAAATCACTGGAATAAATTACATTTTAAAATATATTCAAATAGAAGACAGTTATTTTAAATAGTAAAAATATTTCACAATATTACTGCTTTTGCTGTATTTTAGATCAAATAAATGCAGGCTTGGTGAGCAGAAGAGAATTATTTAAAAATCTTACTGTTCAAAAACTTTTGACTGGTATATGTAGCAGCCATCGCGGCGAATCATTCTCTCGTGGCTAGCCAATCAGTCAGCAGAAACGACTTAGTCATTAAGTCATTAAGGGAGTAATTAAGGGAGCTCGGAGATTGAATCCACCTCGTCCTCATACTGTGCCGACTTGGGACTTATCTACAGTCTATAGTTCTAGGGGGGCCCCGAGGAGAATTGTAAAACTCCAGTTTATTGGACTCCCTTCCCTCAAATCAATGAGCTTCATTCTTTTTTGTTTGTTCAGTCATTTCTCAATGTTATTTATTTGGTTATTTAACACTCTTAAACCATTCTCTGTTTATATTGGATTAACTTTTTGTTTCATTATCTCAGATTTTTTTCAAGACAATCTATTAAGTGCTTCCGGCTTCCTTTCTTTTAAGGGTGTCTTTGACATCCTCATAACTACCTACTGACTGTGTCAGTAACTACCTACTTTTAACTACCTACTGACTGTGTCACTTTTTCCACATGACACTTTTTTTGGGGTGGGTGAATAGTAAAAATATCCCAGTAAAATATAAACCATTTACACACTTTTGACAGCATAAAGAAATCACATTTCTAAAAGCAGTTTATATTACATCTCCTTTGTCTAAGAATGTGAGAAAAACGACTCCTGATAATGACTTCATATAACAAAATTACTTGTTTTTTACTTGGCACAAATGTGATGGTACTTGACGCTATTATGAAACCAAAATACCTTATATCTGTCATTCTATTGTTGACAGTTAACATACGTCAATAGACTATAATGGGTGTCATGTAACTCCTAAGTGGAATTGCCTATAGCCTGCACCATAATGGTATGCTGTATCCAAAATAAACAAATACAGGTTGGGGTTAGGGTGGGCACTACTGTAAGATGAGGACCTTGATGAAGCTTGAGGATCTGAATGAAAGCAAACAAAAAGAAAAATTTACCGCAGTCATCATAAGGTAAACTGAAACTGCCGAGTACCCCTTAAGAGCACACTATTGAGTGTTCAACAGAGTACAATGCATGCGTCAACTGGAACAATGGTGGAAATTCTGCAAACATATACATATTTAGCTGCTATTGTCCTCGCAGTATCAAAAGACAGCTTTTGTTCAGCTAACCCATATCCTCATCCACGTTTCGAGTAAGTAGTCATTTAGCATGACATTTGTATCCAAAGTACACTAAGTAGAACATTATCCCTGTGTAACACCCGTTTGCACCAATAAGAATTTCGAGTTATTATTCGTGTTGTTGTTTTTCCTAATTTTTCGTAAGTGCAACTATGGATGTTATTTGGACCAGTTAGGTTCGACTACGGAGCCTGTAAATAATGTAAATAAAGGCTAGAGC